AAAAAAAAAAAAAAAATGCAACAGAGAGTCACCATGAACTCAAGGGCACTAGGTCTGGTTTTGGTATGTTTTTGGGTTTTTCTGATTGGTCCAGACTCACCTGTGAAGAAACTTCTCATACGTCTGACGGAAGGCAAACCCGGCCCGACGCACCCTCACATTTTCCAGTAGGCCAAGATATTCCACTTGATGCCGGCAGCGTTCGTCATCAAATATTTGTGGGGATTTCTTGTCATTGGGTTTGATACAACGCACGTAATACGGCTCCTACAGAAATAAATTCACAAATATGTTTTTCTGGAGAAAAAGCCCAGACCATGACATGAATATGTAATGTAGAGTTAACTGTGTCAAATTAAGTTCTGTGAATCTAATTCCTCAGCTGTGTGGATGAAGTGGTGATACCTAAGCATAAAGTATTTGTACTTCCTTTTTCTTTCAACTTCAGATTAAGAGTTCTCATGTGAAAGAGTTGAACAACAAGAGGTTGACCAAATGGACTTGCACACAGTATTGAATGGAAAGTGTTTTTTTCTTCAACTTGAAAGAGGGAAATTTTATTAGGAGGACACTCAGAGGAACTCGTGTTCCAAAGATTTGGGCCTGAATGCAAATTATTTTTACATATAATTCAAACACGTACTTAAAGACAATTTAATTGCTAAGGACTATCATCACACAGAGTCTATACCCTCTAACCAAATAAGATTAATTTAGAAATCAAGAGCAAAAAGATAATTAGGAAATTCCTGTACATTGGGAAATTAAGAAATATATTTCCAAATGACCCTTAGGTTAAAGAAAAAATGACAATGGGAATTAGAAAAGATTTTGAACTCAATTTATTATAACTATGTCAGCAAGCAATCTTAGCTCAAAGAATCAGTTGAGCACTTCAAGTGCTTACAGATGTAATTCATAGACTTTAGCCTTCATGTGGATTATACTTTAATGCAAATAAAACAAAATCCCCACAGCTGGCTGGATAAACAACATCATGATAGAAGGAGAAAAGTCTGAAGCTTCCAAGGTTTTAATTTTACTTGGATCCACAAACATCACCCATGGAAACAGCAGCCAAGAAATGAGATGATGTAATTCAGTCAGCAAACCAGCTGCCAACGACTCCCTTAACATGCTAAAGAGCAAAGGTGTCAGTGTTAAAGACTAAGGTGTGTCAGATCCAAATCATGGTAGTTTCAGTTGCTACATATACATGTGAAAGTTGACCACAGGAGATTAAAGAAGAATGAATGCCTTTGAATTGTGGTATTGGTGAAGAATATAGAATACACTGTGGATTGTCAAAGGAACAAACAAATCTCTTTTAGAGAAAGTATGGCTAGAGTGCTCCATAGGAGCAAGGTCAGGAGCACTCAGTGTCATATACTTTAGCTGCGTCACCAGGAAGGATCAGTCCTTGGAGAAGGACATCATGCTTGGAAAAACAGAGAGTTAGCAAAAGAGAGGAAACCCCTCAATAGTCAGGATTAACATGGTGACTGCAATAACAACCATGAGCACAGCACACACTGTGTGGCTGGCAAGGGATTGGGCAGGGGGGCTATGAGTCAGAGCCGACCTGATGGCACAGAACAACAAGAAAAGTAACTTTAACCGACACCAGTGTGAGTGGAATTTTACCAGTATTTACTGATTATGCACAGGAAGTGGTAGCACGGGATTAGACACTAATGATCAATCAACAGGGGGGAAGCCTTTCCATCACATTTAGTAATGTAAAAAAAAAAATCTTCAGATAAGAAATCTAGTGAAAACATGTTCTCTATATTTAATGAGTGTTCTATCTCAATTTATAAATGCCGCCTCCTCTCTTACTTATAAATATCCAGACTGACTCAACCTAAGAAATCCTGAATTTGACAAATTTGGAATGTCTTATAAAGGTTAAGTTGCAAAAGTTAAAAGTGAACTTACTTTTATGTACCTTTTAACCTGTTTCTCCCTATACTTTATGTGGAAAACAACATTTTAAAAAAATGTATATAACAGGAAGCTCTGGTGGCCTAGTGGCAAGCAGCTGTGCTGCAATCACAAAGGTATGCAGTTCAAGTCCACCAGCTTCTCTGCAAGAGAAGGATGTTGCCCATTCTCCTCCTGTGAAATTAACCGCCTCTGAAAACCCACCAGACGGTCAGCTATGAGTCAGTTCCAACTCGATGGTACACAACAACAACATATATATATATACACACACACACACACATATATATAACAGCTAGCAGATACTGTATTTAAATACATATTTCTTAGGTTGATTTGCTACCCCTTTTATGTCAATATGCTAAAATGTGGCAGCTTTCATGTTGCTGTGATGCTGAGGCTGTGACATTGGTATTGTAAATACCAGCACGGTGAGCCCAGCTCCCACTTTGGCCTTTGAGGCTTCGGTTGATCTAGCAGAGGTGGTCATGAGGCTGCTGAGATGGGAGAGACAGTGCTGGGGCAGGGCACAGCTTCTGATAGTCTTGCAGGGTAGATTATCAAAGCTGGAACCTAAGGCCATCCTGGATGAGTCTCTGAGCTTTGGTCTGGAATACTGGATAGCTAAACTTTGGAATATACACAGGCAACTCAACCCTTGCAAGAATGGAAGTTCGTCACTGAGCCACTAAAAGTTCTGAAATTGGGTTAAGGAGATCCTAGATTGGCAGAATATGTCTGATGTATCTTTTTGAACTTCTACTTTTCTATGTCTTTTTATGTAGAGATCACTTGTACATAGCCTGTATTTATCCCCTTTATTTAATCTGCTTTGAAAATTTTTATCCATTTGCATTCAGTGTTTATTAATATGATGTTGTTGCTGTGTACCATCAAGTCAGAATCAACTCATAGCTGACCCTCCGGTGCATTTTCAGAGGCAGTTAATCACACAGGAAGATATGTTATATATACATTTATTTACATGTATTTATTCTAACATAATTTGTGTGACTTGTTGCAACTTCTCTATGCTCTTTTCCCAGTTTTTCCTAGAATTAATTATTTTCTTCTTTTTGTTTTTCTTTATTTGGAAATTATCAAGCTCTATTTCTATTCTCATAATGACTATCCTAGAAATTTTAATATGAATTTATAACTCATTAGAATTGAAAATAAAGCAATATTTTATGATCTTCCTGAGGATTGTAAACACTTTGATTGCAACCATCACACTTCCAACACACTTGTTACTTAATTCTAATTTGTATTTTTAAGCTCACAAAATATTTCTATGATCAGTTTATTTGTGTCTATACATTTACCAATTTCTTTTCCTTAAATAAAATAATTTTTTATCTTTTCTTTAAATTTTATTTTTATTATTTTTTTGTGTGTGTACCGTCAAATCAGATCTGACTGGTACAGGAGGAGACTGCCCCTCCTTCTCCAGCAGAGATCTGGTGGATTCAAACTGCCCACCTCTGGGATTATAGTGCAGCTTCTTGCCACTAGGCCACCAGAGCTCACCATAAAATTTTTATTTTATATTGGCTTACTTACAAAGTTCATATACATTGTTTTTCACACTGGATCTTTCCCATTTCCTTTACCCACCCTTCCCTCTCTACCCATCAAATTGTGCGACCCTATCCTCACCCCTCTGCTCCTACCCTCCCCCCTTGGATCCTCATGTATGTTTTACTAGTTATCTTTCTATTTCTTCAATAATGGTCTTATACATACAGTATTTGTCCTTATGGGACTTAAGTTCACTTAGCACAAACCTCTCCAGTCTTTCCCAAGTTAGGTAGTAATTTTTAAAATCATTGCTCCTACGTGCTGTATAGTGTTTCATCACGTGAATGTACCACAATTTCTCAATCCATTCGATTGGAGTTGGACATTCGGGCTGTTGCTACATTCTTGTGATGGCAAATAAAGCTGCTGTGAACATTGGTGTATAAATCTCAGTTTGTGTCTCAGTTCTAATTTTCTCAGTTACCAATTTCTTTGGTCATCTTTTTTTAATCTCAGACTTTCTTTTAGTATCTTTTTCTGCCTGATGAATATTCAGTGAGGTTTTAATGCTTGCAAAGATGCTGAAAAATTCTTAATCTTTGCATATATATTTGTGACTGTGTATATGCTTATTTCAGCTTATAGTTAGAGTTATTATATCCTTGTTGCCCTTTGTAACTAATCTGTTACTTCAGTGGTTGCTTTGAAGATACTTCCTTTGTCTTCTTTGATGTTCTTGACATTCACTATTGGCCAAAAGGTACCTTTCTTTTAATTTTTCAACTGAGCTTCCTCAACTTATGGAATCTGTACAACAATGATAACTTTCATTATTCTTGAAATTTTTTTTAGCAATATTACCTCAAGCATTGCTTCTCCCCCATTTTTCTCTTCTTCCAGAAATTCTGAGAGATGCATATGCGATCTCATTCTATCTTACACATTTCTTTCATATTTTCCATTTCTTGATTTCTTTGGGTAAAATATTAGATAATCCCTCTTTAAAAAATTATTTTACATTTGAGTGAAGGCTTAAAAATCATATTGGTTTTTAATAGTCATGTTGTTGTTGTTGTTATGTGCTGTTGAGTCATTTGTGACTCATAGCAACCCTGTACAACAGCCCTAAATCCTACTCTATCCTGTGCCAATCGCATTGCCTCTGACACACCCATCCTGATTACCCCAGTCTTCCCCTCCTGTGCTGTCCCTCTAACAGTCATAGACACTTTAAATAACATTAATTACCTTGGACTAATATAATTAACTATAATGTCTAATCAACCCCTATTGTTAACTGCTTTTCCTATCATCTAACTTCTCTATTTATTAATTTTATTAATTTTTATTCTCTTCTTCTTTTCCTACCCCTGCTAAGAACCCAAGACCGCTTCTGTTTGTAAACTTTTTCTTAGCTTTTTGTAACAATGCTCTTATGCTGTAATTGCCCTTTTTTGTTTAACTTAAGTTACTCAGCATAATTTGCTATACATTAATCCATTTTGTGCAGTATTTCATGAACTCTTGATAGTTTTTAGTGATGATAATACTAATTGTGTAAAGATACCAGAGTTTCTTTAGTCATTCATCTACTGATGCACACGGGTTGTTTCCTACTCTTTGCTGTTATAAATATTGCTGCAAAAAACATGTATGTATGCATATATATGTCAATTTCACTTGAAGCTCTTATTTTTTGGGGGTTATACCTAACAGTGGGATTATTGGATTAAATGCTATTTCTAGATCTAATATTCTAAAGAAAGTCTAACCTGCTTTCCTTAGTGTTTGCAATATTTTAC